CGCCAACCGCCGCCGCCGCCCCCGCAAGGTCCGCCGCACCCGAACCTGTACTCTGCGTATCGCCCAGAGTACACGCCCTACGTCCCTCCTCCCCACGCACCCCTCACCTACCAGCCCCTCCTCGCGACCGTCGCGCACCCGCACGCCCAGCAGCCGTCGCCCTACGCGGCCCCTCCCCCTCCCCCTCCTCCCTCGGACCCGTCCGCCGGGTCGCTCTCGCTCAGCTACCCGTCCCTCTCGTCGTACGCGCGCCCGACCTCGCTCTCGACGACCAACGCGACCCGCGACGGCAGCCGCGCCGTCTCGGCCCCGTCGTCGCCCGGCTCGGCCGCGCCCGACGAGCCGCCGGCGCTCGCCGAGCCCCACTCGCCTTCCCACCGCGACGCCAACGGCCAGTTTACGCGCGGCCTCTCGATCGAGCTCCCCGCGCACCGCAGCGTCCCGCCTCTTATCCCGGCGCTCGGCCACATCAACAGCGCCGACGTCGCGCGCGGCAAGGCGGCGCCCGTCGGCGGCCTCGACGTCGAGGGCGGCGGTGCGGGGGCGTCGAACGGCGCCGGCCGGACCAAGCGGCAGGCGGGGGCGTCCGACGGCAAGTCGTTCGCGCCGCCGGCTAAGCGCAAGAAGGAGCCCAAGGACCTCGCGAGCCGCAAGTACGCGTGCAACGAGTGCGACCAGCGCTTTGCTCGCCCGAGCGCCCTCGCGACTCACGTTGTGCGTCCCTCGTCTCGTTCTCTCTTTGAGTCCTCGTCGAGCCGAACTGACCCATTTTTGTCCTTCTGCAGCTCACGCACACCAAGGAGAAGCGTGCGTCGTCTCGCTCCCTCCGCTCTGTCTCTCGTACGCCGTCTGACTCTCTCGTCCTCCTACAGCGTTCGTCTGCTGCACCTGCAACCGAGGGTTCGCCGTCATGTCCAACCTCCGCCGTCACTGCCGCGTTCGTGTGCGTTCGCTCGTCCTCCCACTCTCTCTCCCTGTCGCAGGAGGGCACCCGACTGACCCTGTCCCTCCCTCGTCCCGCAGAGCCACGCCCTCGCGCCCGAGCAAGAGTCGTCGGCGCGCTCGCGGCCGCCTCTCGGTTCGGCATCGAGCGGGTCGTCGGGCGGCAGCGGGACTGGCTCGACCTCGTTCGTGCCCGACCCGGGTCCGCCACCGTTACGGGCTCTCGCACCTGCGCCGCCAGGGCTGCAGGCGGCGCGGTACTAGCCCTCACTTCTTCTTCCCTCGTACTCTTCCTCTTGTAGTGCGCTTCCCCTCCCCGGCGGTGTTGTCTTCCCGTCGCCGTCCCATGTATACACTCTTGGCTTTGCTTCACAGTCGAGGGCGGTGAGAGAGAGAGCCAGAGCAGCCAGAGATGGAACGGGTTCTGGATCGGAAGAGACTCGAGCGCTCGGCGCGCGGCGGCGTCGCGAGGACGAACGACCCTTTGCCCGGCTCCCGCCTCGACAACGGCCAGCAGAGACGAGCAGCTGCACCGCCGAGCTCGATCTACCACCAGCCGACCGCCCAGGGCCCCGTCGACGAGCGCAGCGCCCCATCCCGCTCCCCCTCTCGTCGCCTCGTCCTCCCCGTGGCACCACTCTCGCGTCACTCGTCCGCCCTCTTGGGAGCCAGGACACGCTCGTTAGGGCCATCTGAAAGCTCTCCTGCATCGGGTCCCGCGCGGCTACTGCACCTGTGCGTCCCCTCCTCGCCTGGCCTCCTCCCCCTCGCCCACCCCTCTCCCTCAACCTCGGCCGCAACACGCTGACACGCCACTCGATGCAGGACTCGCTCCTCGTCAAGCACCGCCACCATGCCGACCAACCCGTTCGCGACCCCGAAGCTCGGCCAGGCCGTCGAGCTCGACCCGCTCGAGGTGCCCGACCTCGCAGACCTCCCTCCTGGCGTCCCTCCGCTCTCGACCGACGACCTCGTCCCCCTGCTCCGCGCCCGCCTCCTCGATGGCCTCCCGTACACGTCCCTGTCGCCCCGCGTCACGGTCGCCGTCAACCCGTTCCAGTTCGTCCACGCGACGAGCGACCAGGCGCTCGCCGACTGGCGCGCCGAGTACACCGACTGCGGCACCGAGGGCATCCGCGGTCGACTCGGCCCGCACGTGTGGGCGACGGCGCACAAGGCGTACTACCACATGACCCGCACCGGCCAGGACCAGGCCATCGTCCTCAGGTGCGTCCTCCCGTTCTCTCTCTGCCTCTCTCCCTTGTCGCAAGCCCGTCCCCGAGCTCACCATGGATCCTCACACACACAGCGGCGAGACGGGTTCGGGCAAGAGCGAGTCGTCGCGGTTGATGCTCAAGGCGCTCATCGACGTCTCGGCGCCGCCAGCGGGCAAGAAGGGCAGCAAGCTCGCGACGAGCGTCCCGGCCGCCTTCTTCATCCTCGACTCGTTCGGCCACGCGACGACGACGTCCAACGCCAACGCGTCGCGCTTCGGCCGCTACACCGAGCTCCAGTTCAACGACAAGGGCCGCCTGACGGGCCTCAAGGGCCTCGAGTACTTCCTCGAGAAGAGCCGCGTCGCGGCCGCACCCGCCGGCGAGCGCAACTTTCACGTGTTCCACTACCTCGTCGCCGGCGCGTCGTCGGACGAGCGCGAGCACCTGCGCTTCGACAGCGCCTCGTCGTTCCGGTACCTCGCCCAGGCGCGCTCTTCGGCCTCGTCGGTCCAGTCCGACATGGCGCGCTTCGCCCAGCTCAAGGACGCGTTCAAGGCGGTCGGGTTCCCCAAGAAGGCGGTCGCGTCCGTGTGCCAGGTCCTCGCCGCCATTCTCCACCTCGGCAACGTCGAGTTCGTCATGGACCGCCACCGCAACGCCGACTCGGCCATCGTCAAGAACCCGCACGTCCTCGACACGGCCGCCGAGTTTCTCGGCGTCGACGCGGCCGAGCTCGAGTACGCGTTGACGAACCGGTCGACGCTCGTCATGGGCGAGGTGTGCGCCGTCTTCCTCGACGCCGAGGGCGCCGCCCGCAACCGCGACGACCTCGCGAGCACGCTGTACAGCCTCGTGTTTGCGTGGATCGGCGAGTTCCTCAACGAGAAGCTGTGCCGCGACGACTTTGCGACGTTCGTCTCGCTCGTCGACTTTCCCGGCCCGGTCCAGCACGCCGCGTCCCACCGCGACGGCCTCGGCGTCGAGGCGTTCTGCTTCAACTTGGCGTCCGAGCGCGTGCAGAGCTACCTCGTCGAGCAGCTGCACGAGGCCGACAAGGCCGAGTATGCCGCCGAGGGCCTCGTCCTCGCCGGCGCCGACGTCAAGCACTCGTCCAACTCGGAAACGGTCCGCCTCCTCACCAACCAGCCGGGCGGTCTCGTCCACATCATCGACGACCAGTCGCGCCGTCGCGGCAAGACGGACGCGACCATGCTCAAGGCCATGACCAAGCGCTGGTCGAACCACCCGTCGTTCTCGTCGCGCGAGGGCGACGAGGCCCAGGGCCGCCCGGGCACGTTCGTCGTCTCGCACTGGCACGGCCAGGCGACCTACTCGACCGAGAACTTTGTCGCCCACAACTCGGAGGCCGTCTCGCCCCACTTTGTCACGCTCCTCGGCGGCTCGACGACGCCCTCGTTGTCGTCGTCGTCGTCGTCGGCGGCCCGTGGCGCCGCACGCGTCAGCAGCGACGGCCGCACGACCCCGAGCGGGCTCGCGACCGCGACGACGACGACGGGCGGCTCGACGTTCTCGTTCATCCGCCAGCTGTTCGCCAACGGCGCCGTCGAGACCAAGGCGCACCCGCGCAGCGAGGAGACGCTCGTCGCCGCAACGCAGAAGGTCGGCCCGCGCCGTGCCCCGTCGACCCGTCGCCCGCAACGCGGCGGCGCGCCGCACAACCCGTTCGGCGGCACCGGCGGCGACATCGACGAGGACGACGAGGAGCCGGCGCCGGCGAGCGAGTCGACGGCGCCCGGGAGCCGGTCGGTCGTCCAGGAGGTCAACGACGCCCTGACGCTCCTCCTCAACACGCTCCAGACGAGCAAGTCGTGGTTCGTCCTGTGCGTGCGGCCCAACGACGCCCAGCTCCCGAACCAGGTCGACGCCAAGCTCGTCAAGCACCAGGTGCGGGCCTTTGGCCTCGCCGAGCTCGCGCGCCGCCTCGACGGCGAGTGGGGGGTCAACCTCGAGGTGCGCGAGTGGTGGGAGCGCTACGGCCAGATCGCCGTCCTCGCCGACGAGCAGCAGGCGCTCGGCGCCCTCATGTACCGCGACAAGGCCGTCAAGGTCCGCGAGCTCCTCGGCTTCAGCGAGCGCGAGATGGGCATCGGCAAGAGCAAGGTGCGCCCTCTCCCTCTCTCTGTCTCTCTCTCTGCGCGTCACTGCGTCGCCGGCCGGCCCTGACTCGCTCGCGCCCCCTGTGTTGCAGGTCTTCCTGAGCGACAACGCGTTCCGGTACCTCGAGGACTTTCTGCGCGCCGACGACCCCGAGGAGCAGGCGCACTGCCGCGAGATCCTCAACCGCACGTCGTCCGGCGCCGGCGAGCCGGCCGCCATCGTCGACGACCCGTACTCGCCGTACGCCCAGCCCGACACGCCCGGCCTCGGCTCGTACAACGACGACTTTGCCAAGACGACGTCGACGGCCGCCCTGCCCATCCTCGCGCACAAGTACGGCGCCAACACGGCCCCGGCGTACGACGACGACGACGAGTACGAGATGGACCGCAAGGAGTACCTCGCCGGGCCGGGCGCCGGCGACGACGACTACTACACGCCGTCGCAGCACCAGCAGCAGCGCGAGCTGCACGACGAGGAGCGCTCGCTCGCGCCGTCGGCCTACACGAGCTCGCGCCCCATGTTCGACACGGGCAAGGGCTCGGAGAAGGAGCTCCTCGCCGGGTCCAAGGAGAACACCGAGACGGTCGAGGTGATCCGCACGAGCTCGGCGCGCAAGCGCTGGGTCGCCCTCACGTGGCTCTTTACGTGGTGGGTCCCGTCGCCTGTCCTGCGGTGGGTCGGCGGCATGAAGCGGCCCGACGTCCGCATGGCCTGGAGGGAGAAGCTCCTCATCAAGTGCGTCGCCTCGTCCTCTCTGTCTCCCGCTCTTTCAGCGGCGACTGACTACCCCCCTACCTACAGCATCCTCATCTGGCTCCTGTGCGGCTCGGCCGTGTTCGTCATCGCCGTCCTCGGTCCGCTCATCGTGCGTCCCTCGCCTCGTCCTCGTCGCCCTCTCCCTCTCGAGCGAGGACTGACTTCCCGCCTCTCGCGCAGTGCCCGACCGAGCACGTCTTCAACACGCAAGAGCTCAACGACCGGTCGTACACGCAGAACCCGGACAAGATGCTCGTCGCCATCCGCGGCGAGGTGTTTGACCTGTCGTCGTTCGCGCCGCACCACCAGCCGGGCAGCTCGGTTATCCCGACCGTGCGTTTCCCTTCTTCGCGTCGTTCCTCTCGACGCACGACTGACATCTTTCCCACTCGCGCAGACCAACATCGAGAAGCTCGGCGGCAACGACCTCACCAACTACTTCCCGGTCCAGGTGAGCGCCCTCTGCAACGGCGTCGACGGCAACGTCAGCCCGTGGGTCACGCTCGAGTCGTCCAACATCTCGACCGCCATCACCAACGTCGCCAAGTACCACGACTTCCGCGCCTACACGACCGACGTCCGCCCCGACTGGTACTACGAGAGTGCGCTCGACCCCCTCCTCCCTCTCGCTCTCCTTTCTCGAGCCGCCTCACTAACACTCTCCCTCCCAATCGTGTGCGCAGCCATGGTCTACATGCGGTACAACTACCGCAAGGGCTTCATGGGCTACTCGCGCGGCACGGTCAAGAAGGAGGCCAAGGACAAGGGCAAGAACATCGCCGTCTACGACGGCAACGTGTACGACTTCTCGACGTACATCCAGAACGGCGGGTGCGTCTCTTGCTCCCTACTCTCTCGCCGTCGCCGTCGTCGTCGTCGAGCCGGTCTGACTCTTCCCCCCTCTGCTGCAGCGGCGGCGTGCGCGTGCCCGACGGCGCAGCCATCCCGAGCGGGACGGAGCGCAACTTCATGTCGACGCCGATCGTCGACCTGTTCCGCCAAAAGTCGGGCGGCGACCTGACGAGCGCCATCAACAGCCTCAACCTCGACGCGGCCGTCCTCGAGCGCCAGAAGATCTGCATGCGCAACCTGTTCTTCATCGGCAAGCTCGACAACCGCAACTCGCCCCAGTGCCAGTTCTCGCAGTACATCCTCATCGCCCTGTCGGTCGTCATGGTCGCCATCATCGGGGCCAAGTTCATCGCCGCCCTCCAGTTTGGCCGCAAGCGCAAGCCCGAGGACTACGACAAGTTTGTCATCTGTGCGCCTCTCGTCCTCTCTCTCTCTCTCGTCGCAGCTGCACGAGGTCGTCGCATCGTGATCTGACGCTGCTTCGACCATGCGCAGGCCAGGTCCCGTGCTACACCGAGGGCGAGGACTCGCTCCGGGCGTGCATCGACTCGCTCACCAAGCTCAAGTACGACGACAAGCGCAAGCTGTTGATGATCATCTGCGACGGCATGATCGTCGGCTCGGGCAACGACCGCCCGACACCCCAGATCGTGCTCGACATCCTCGGCGCCGACCCGACTATCGATCCCGAGCCGCTCAGCTTCCTGTCGATCGGCAACGGCGACAAGCAGCACAACATGGCCAAGATCTACTCGGGCCTGCACGAGGCCGGCGGCCACATCGTCCCTTACATCGTGCGTCCTCCTCTCGCAGCCCGGTTCCGCGGGACCTTCTCGAGCGCGTGCGCCTGCTCACCCCACTCCTCTCGCAGGTCGTCGTCAAGGTCGGCAAGCCGACCGAGCGTCAGCGTCCGGGCAACCGCGGCAAGCGCGACTCGCAGATGCTCCTCATGCGCTTCCTCAACCGGGTCCACTTCGACTCGCCCATGGCGCCCGCCGAGCTCGAGATGTACCACCAGATCAAGAACGTCATTGGCGTCAACCCGTCGTTCTACGAGTACCTCCTCATGGTCGACGCCGACACGACCGTCGACCCCATGTCGCTCAACTACCTCGTCGGCGGCTTTGTCGAGGACCGCAAGATCATCGGCCTGTGCGGCGAGACGTCGCTCGCCAACGCTCGCGCCTCGTGGACGACCATGGGTCAAGGTGCGTCCCCTCGTACTTCTCGTTGTCGCCGTCGCCCGTCGACCCTGCCTGACTTTCCGCTCTTCCCGCCGCGACAGTCTACGAGTACTTCATCTCGCACTACCTCACCAAGGCCTTCGAGAGCCTGTTCGGCTCGGTCACCTGTCTGCCTGGCTGGTGCGTCCCCTACTCTCCCACTTTCCCCTGCACCTCGACGAACTCGTACTGACTCGAGCCTCGTCCGCCGACAGCTTCTCGATGTACCGCATCCGGACCCTCGAGCACAAGCCCATCATCATCTCGGACGCCATCCTCGCCGAGTACGGCGAGAACAAGGTCGAGACGCTGCACGTCAAGGTGCGTCCTCCTCCTCCCCCTCCCTCGTCCTTCTCTGCACCGATCCTGACCCTCGTCGTCCCTCGTGCAGAACCTCCTGTCGCTCGGCGAGGATCGTTACCTCACGACCGTCATCCTCAAGCACTTTGCCCAGTACAAGCTCAAGTTCACTCGGTTCGCCAAGGCGCAGACGATCGCGCCCGACGACTGGAAGGTCCTCATGTCGCAGCGTCGTCGCTGGATCAACTCGACCATCCACAACTTGTTCGAGCTCCTCTTCATCGACCGCATGTGCGGCTTCTGCTGCTTCTCGATGCGCTTCGTCATCCTCGTCGGTGCGTCCCACCCTTGCCCTCTCTCTTCCTCGCCGGGCCGAACCTGACCTCGACCCGCCGCACAGACCTCGCGTCGACGCTCATCTCGCCGGTCACCGTCGCTTACATCGTCTACGTGCGTCTCTCATTCTCACTCTGTCCCTGAATGCGCGGTTCGTGGACAAAGAGACTGACTTTGGACCCGCCCTTGCAGCTCATCTACATGGTCGCCGGCGAGCACAAGGCGATCCCCACGTTCGCCCTCATCATGCTCGGCGCCATCTACGGCCTCCAGGTCATCATCTTTGTCCTGCATCGCAAGTTCGAGCACATCGGGTGGATGCTCGTGTACATCCTCGGCATCCCCTTCTTCTCGTTTATCCTCCCGCTCGTGTCGTTCTGGCAGATGGACGACTTCTCGTGGGGCTCGACCCGCGAGATTGTCGGCGAGCAGGGCAAGCGCCTCCTCGTGCACGACGAGGGCAAGTTCGACCCGGCGTCGATCCCGCTCCGCACCTGGTCCTCGTTCGAGGCCGACCTCTGGGTGCGTCCCCTCTCTCTCTACTCGTCCTCCTCCTTCTCGGGCGCACCGTCGCTGACTTTCCCCCGACGTGCGCAGGAGACGGGCTCGAACGCGTCGATCGGCGAGATCATCGAGGCGTCCAAGCAGGAGCGCGAGCAGTCGCAGTACGGCATGCCTTACGGCGCGCCGTCGCAGTACGGCGGCGCCTCGACGCGCGACTTGTCGCCGCAGCGTCACGGCGGCGCGGGCGCGGTCGGCCACTACGCGGCGCCGTCGATCGGCTCGCTCCCTCGCGGCGCAGGCGCAAGCGTCTACGCCGGCTCGGCGTACCCGGCGTCGGTCAACCCGTACGCGCAGCCGGGCGCAATGAGCTCGTTCGCCAACGCGGGCAAGCGCGACTCGACGACGTCGTTCTTTGCGTCCAACGCGCTCGCCCAGGCCGGCATGCTCCCCGCTGGCCACCGCGGCAGCTCGGGCGACCTCCTCGGCGGCGGCGGCGGCGGGACGTACGGTGCGAGCCCCCGCGCCATGTCGCCCATGGGCACGGGCGTCCCGTCCGACGACGTCATCGTGCGCGACGTCCAGGACTTGCTCGCGACGGCCGACCTGCAGACCGTCACAAAGAAGACGGTGCGCTCGGCCCTCGCGCAGCGGTACGGCGTCGACGACTTTGGCGCCGACAAGAAGGCCCTCATCAACGCCGTCATCAGCGAGACGCTCGGCCTCGCCTGAACGGTCGTCGCGAGGCGGCGGAGCGAGGGGGAGAAGGAGAAGGAAGGAGGAGGAGGGAGGTCACGACTCACGCCCCTTTCATGGACCCTGGCTCTCTCCGTCATCTAGTTTTCTACACGCCCCTCCACAGACACTACTCGTCGTCGCCCGTACGGCGGCGCTCTCCTCGTCCTGTAGCACCGTGTCTGTCTCTTTGCCTCGCCTGGAACTCTGCGCTTTCCTCGCATTCCCTCTGCTCCTCGAGACCGCGCTCGTAGGTGTCGCAGCTCTCGATGCGCAAGCTCGACTGAGAGAAGGAGAGAGACAAGATCTGCTTGCAGTACAACAACCACGTCGAGAGACGCCAAAAGATACGAGAGCCCCTCCTCGCCTCGACTCGTCCTCCTACTTGCTCTTCCTCTTGGTCGCCGACTGCCAGCGCGAGGGGAACGACGAGGTAGAGAGAGTCAGTTCTCGGTCGACGAGGACGACACGGCGAGAAAGAGAGAGAGAGAGAGGAGGACGCACCTCGGTGGCGGTGGAAGGGGTGCCACCGACGCTCTTGCGCGTGCTCCTGCGCCTCGGCGTCTCGTCCGCAGCCGGCGCCTCCTTTTTGGCGGCGGCAGGCGCAACCTTGACCTTCTTGGACGGCGTCGGCTTGTCGCCGTCGTCGGCGCCCGCAACCTTGTTGCCAGCGTAGCCGGCAAACTCGTACTCGATGCCGAGGTCGGCGAGCTGCTTGCGCTTCTTGTCGTCCGTCTTGAGCAACCGCTGCTTGATCTTGTCCTGCTGCTGGTCCGACTTGGGCGCGTTGCGCCTCGCGGCGTCCTTGCGCGCCTTGGGCACGACGCGGAACTTGCGGTTTGCGCCGACCCACAGCTTGGGGTGGATCTCGTCGTCGGGGACGACCTTGCACACGAGGATGTGGCCCGCGAGGAGGTAGTTGTCCATCGTCTCGTGCACAATCTGGGCGACCGAGGCGTACTTGAACTCGATGAACGCGTAGTGCTTCGAGGCGCCCGTCTGTGTGTCGAGATCGAGGACAGAGGGTCAGTGCGCGCTCGGGGGCAAAAAGGGGCAGAGAGAGAGACGGGGGTGGCTCGAGGGGAGGGAGGGGCAGGACGCACCTGCTTGTTGCGCGAGAGACGCAGGCGCGTCACCTCGCCAAACTGCGAGAAGTAGCTGCGCATCTCGTCCTCGTAGAAGCCCTTGGGGATGCGGCCGAGGTACACGGTGCCCGTCTTGTGCTGCAGGGGACACAAGAGCGCGAACGCGCGAGTCAGTCAACGTGCACGCGCACGAGACGGACACAGAGAGAGAGAGAGAGAGGGACGCACCTGCTTCTTCTCCTTGGCCTCGAGCTTCTTCTGCACCGGCGCGCCCTTGACCTGCGGGAGCTGGTCGGCCTTGACCGGCTTGGCATCCGCCGCGTCCTCGCCGTCCGCCTCCTCGTCCGAGCTGTCCTCGCCATCGTCCTCGCCCGACTCGAACCCGGCCAGGAAGTCGATGTCGGCCTCCTCGTCCTCCTCCTCCTCGTCGTCGTCGCCCGCCAGCTTGATCTCCTCGTCCTGCTCCTCGTGCTCGACCTTCTTGCCCTTGCCCTTCTTGAGCGCGCCCTTGGGCGGCGCGGGCGCGTCCTTGCTCCGGATCGCCTCGACCTCGTCGGGCCGCTTCTCGCGCAGGTCCTTGCGCTCGACGCCGTTGCCGCCGACCTCGACGGGCTCGTCGTCGTCCTTCTTCTTCGAGCCCTTCGACGGCGTGCCCTTCTTCTTGCTTGACGGCGTCGACGCCGAGGGAGCGGCGGCGGCGTGGTCGTCGACGACGCGGACGCGCTTTTGCGACGCGCTCACGGGCTTGGAGGCGCTGTGCGGGGCGGCGATGGGCGTCGTGGGCTTGGTAGGGGTGGCCTTGGTGCGGGACGGGGTCGACTTGGCCATGGGGAGCGAGTGTGCGAGAGGGTGGGAGGAGGCGAGATGAGGGCGAGGCGGGGAAGCGAGGTCGAGCTTGGTCGAGTGCGACAAGGTCGACCTCTCGCCCTCTCGGCGGCGCTTTCGTTGGTCCGGTGTGTAGCCTGGTGGACAGTGATACATCTCGCGGAAAGCTCACACAAGAGCGGGCCCCAAAGAGGCGAGGCGACAGAGAACGCTCTCCTCTCGCGAGGTCGAGTGAACGGACCCCTCTCGAACGAACAGAGCGACAAGACAGCTCACAACACGCATTACACTTGCCCCTCGATCCCCCTCTCCTCAGTCCGACTCGTCGTCCGACCCATACGCCGCGAGCGCCCCGAGCCCGACCACCGGCTTGGCCTTGACCGCCGCCTGCGCCCCGACCCCGGCCGCGCTCGCGCCCGCGCCCGCGGCGGGACCCTGCTTCTGCTGCCGCAAGTGCGCCATGTACCGCAAGCTGTCGACGGCGTGCGCGCTCAGGATGCCCGACGCGAGGCCCGGTGCGGGTGCGGGTCCGGGTGCGGCAGGAGGAGGAGGCGGCGGCGCACCGCCGACAGCGCGCGCCTGGGCCTCGACGACCGTCGCCGCCGCCGGCGGGGCCTCGGGCGCCGCAGCAGCGACCCTGGCGCGCTTGCGTGCGCGCCCGGCGCCCTCGTCGTCGACCTCGTCGCCTGCCTCGTGCGCGCCCTGCGGCTGCGGCGCCTCGAGCCGCCCTTGCGCCTGCGCCTGCGCCTCCTCGCCCTCGCCCTCGATCTCGCGCGGCCCAACGCGGCCCTCGAGCTCGTCGAGCTCGCGCACGCGCTGGACAAACTCGGGGTCGAGGACCTGGGTGATGCCCTTTTCGCCCTGGGCGACGACGCGGCGGTGCTCGGCGCGCTTGGCGGCCGGGTTCGGGTCCTCGGTGGCCCAGCTGCGCGCGTGACAGGGGAGGCGAGTCAGTTGGGCGCCGAGAGGGACAGAGAGAGAGGGAGAGAGAGAGAGAGGGCGGACGCACCGGACGTTGAGCACCTCGTCGCCCTCGAGCGACTGGTGCATCATGGCCTCCTTTGCAAACTGGGCGTTGAGCTCGTTCGGGTACGTGACGAACGCGACGCCGCGGTTCGACAGGATCTTGACTGCGTGCGTGGCGCGCGAGTGTGGTTGGCCCGAGGATCAGTCCGTGCCCGAACGAGAGGGCGAAAGAGAGAGAGAGAGAGAGGGAGAGGATGACAAGGGAGAGGATGACAAGGGAGAGGATGACAAGGGAGAGAGGAGACCGGGACGCACTGCGCTCAATCTCGCCAAACTCTGAAAAGTGCTCCTCGACGACGTCGGCCGTCTGGCGCGTCTCCTTGATGCGGCCAATGTACAGCGTGCGGTTCTGGCGGTTGAACGAGCCGACGCCGCCCATGTCGTCGCGGTAGCCCGAGTGCTTCTCGCGCCCAAAGACGTCGAGCGACGCGTCGGGGAGGACGTGCTGAGGCGGCGGGAGCCGGTGCAGGTACGTGCACTCGACGCTGTGAGGGGGGCCGCTCGTGTGGTCAGGCTCGGGTGACGACTCGTATCTCGGCACACACACACACAGAGAGAGAGTGTGTATGAGAGAGGGGGAGGGGACGCACCCCTTTGGGCAGCAGCCGCGCGCAAAGTACAGGCAGATGTACTTGTTGCCGCTGCCGTCTGCGCGCGTGTACCCGGCGTCCCTCTTGATGTTGACGCGCGTCTTGGCCTTTTCCTGGAGGCCCATCGCGTCGTACTTGTCGCCGCCGGCCTGTTGGGCGCGCGTGCACGAGGTGGTCAGTTCTGCTCGAGGGGGAGGGAGGAGGAGAGAGCGGGAGGGAGGGGAGGGGGCGGACCCATTTGTGGTACCACAGGTTGTACGTCTGGCCCGTCTGCTCGACGACTCGAGGCTCGATCTGGCCCTCCTCGACCTGGGAGCGCGGGGGACAGTGATGCGTCAGGGTGGGTCGCTTGAGAGGGAGAGGGGGAGAAGGAGCGGACCTGTTTCCGAGCGGGCTTGCGCTTGACCATGCGCTTCTTCGGGGCTGGTGCCGGGGCGTCGTCGGGCTGCTGCTGCTGCTGGTGGGCGGCGACGTCGGCCATGGTGGGTCGGCGAGGCGGGGTGTCGCGGTGGGAGGAGGAGGGGGGACGGAGGGAGGGGTGCGGTGGGGTACGGGCTGCGCGAGGCGGTAGGTGGGCTCGGTCGAAGGGTGAGCTGGAGTGTGTGAGGTCCCTTGTCAGGCAGGCTGCAGCAGTGGCAGTCGAGCGGGGTGGAGGAGCGTCGTCCCAGCCAACCCTCGCCTCGTCCTCGTCCTCATCTCTCCTCAAAGCTCTCGTCCTCTCCTCGACCCCGCCGCCGCCATGCTCGCCCGCACCGCCCTCCGCCGCGCCACCGCCCTCCGCACCTACGCCACCGCCGCAGCCGCCACACCGGACGTGTCCCCGCCGCCCATCCCGGCCAACAGGCGCCGCTGTACGACCCGGACCGCGAGCCCGCCCTCGCCAGATCGGCTACCCTGACCTCGCCGCGACTCGAGGCAGCTCCG